GGGGCGGGGAGGAGGGGGGGCGGGGGGATGGCTGCTGTTTGAGGGAAACACTGGAACAAAAAGCAAACACGAAGGCTGAAGAGTTCATTTGACTGCTAGTGACCTTGAAAATCCAATCTTTTACATTTTCCTTTTTCCATTTAACATTAAGAGCATGATATATTTCACTTAGCACATTAAAAGAGGATAGAGGTTGTAGTTCATAATTTAAGAGTATATAGTACTGATACCCTGTGAACTTTGTATTTGGGTTACTCTTACTGTGCCACCCTCAGCTGAAAAGAGCGCTACACGGAGTGCTTGCTCTTGAAAAATGGGCTGGCTGCCAGAGCAGTGGCTCAGATGGTAGAGCACCAACCTGGCACATGTGAGGCCTGAGTTCAAACCCCAGTACTGCATCAGTCGTGTCCCGTCTGCCATGGGTGGCAGTTGTGTTGTGTCAGAAGGATGAGCTCTCTAGTGGGGAAAGCTCAGAACAAGTCACATGACTGGTCCACTAAACTAGCCTCAGACGGGACGCCAGTGCTCCTGGCTGGTCTGGGGCTGTGCAGCGGCTGGTGGAGGACCGAGACCCTGCCCCCCCTGCCTCGCAGCCATGCCAGTCTCTGCCTGGCCCCAGTCTGGATGTTTCCTGTGGCCACAGGCCCAGGTGATGTCCCTTCTAGCTGACAGCAGCCTTCCAGACAAGGCTCCAGCTCCAGGTGTCCACAGGTAGCAGTCTCCAGACAGCAGGTGCTTCCCCAGGTGCAAGGTGGAGATTTGAAGTCAGGGGTGGGTGGGTGAGCGGAGCCTGCCAAGAGCCCTGGACCCCTCTCGGCAAGCCCGTTCTTGACCCCACTTGCTAACCGGGGTGGCTGAAGGAGCAAAGCCAGGAGAAATGGGAGGCGGGCATGGAGTCTGCACTCTGGGTGGGTTAGCGCCCCGCTGAGGTCAGGGGAGAGGGGGTTGGGTTCAGGGCAGGTTCTGAGGAGGCCTGCGGAGGGGATGATGAACCCTGTCCACATGCACAGGCGCCCCTCAGAAAGCGGGGCAGCAGAGACTAGAAAGCTCATAGCTGGGGAAAGAGCATGCCTCAGCCATGGGGGGGCGTGGCGGGGGTGGGGAACCAGGGACATCACTTGCAGGCAGCAGTCCTCAGAGATCCTGTGCCCTCCTGGCCAGTGAGGGCGTGGGGACTGTGTAACACCAGAGTGGCGGTCACAGAGATGACCCTCAGGACGCCACCATGCGGTGATGGTAACAGACACTCGTACACAGCAAGACCACAGGCGGCTCAGACCCAAGACGAACACCATCTGTTCAGTTCTTCACTTTGTTGTAGATTAGGCTGCCCTGGGTTCACACTGCCTGAGTACAAACCCAACCCCGTGGAAGGCGGCGCCTCCAAGTCCCTCTTCTTCCCAGATGAAGCAATAAACAAGCACCCCCGCTTCAGGTGAGTGTGCCACCCCCTCAGCAGACGCTCTGCTCACAGACACAGGGGCCACAGCTACTGGATGGCTGCTTCTCACACCCAAACCTGCCTGTTTCCCAAGTCACCTTGAAAGTCAGACTGGCATTGTCCTCCTGTGGCTGAGCAGATTCCTTAAATCTTTCCCCCTTCTGTAGTTTCTGTGATCTACTCATCTCAGTACCATAAAATCTACTCGGCTCCTGGTGCATTTAGTAGGTAGTTTTTCCTCTGTTCTATTAACTACCCGAGCTGTTAGCTATCGGTTGTTAGGTTTGCAGTTCCTTCAGGACCTATGCTGCTCGAGCTTGGCTTTGTGCCTGCCTGCTCACCCATCCTGAGCAAAGGTTCCTGATCTCAGGCAGGGGTGCTGGAACGCAGCAGTGTTCATTCGGTTTCTGAGTATTTTTTGGAAGTAACACAGAGTTGTGTTGAAAGTGAAATGAACATTTTTAGCCGTAAGAAGAGAGACAGTGACAGATAGGTAACAGAAGGTGGCAGCACCAGACATCTCCTTGGAGAAAGTAGAGTGCTCCTGCCTGGCGTGAGGTGAAGCAGGCTTCTAGTGGAGGAGCTGTGGAAGCTGAGTGGACCAGAGCTCTTGCGGGAGAAGTGTGTGCAAGATGCAGCTGCAAAGTGCGCACTTAGCTTCACCTAAAGTCACCGTGAGAGAGCCCACCGCGGCCGGCCTGCGTGCTCAAGACTTGGCTTGGTGCCGTGGACTGGGACAGGGGTGCTTCCCCCTGGGGGACCCCAGAACAGAGTCTCGCACGGCTAACGTTCCCAAGGCATCTCAGTGCCTGGAACTTGCGCTCGGTCTGTGGACTGTCTCCACGTCTTTTGAATAGGACTAACATCAGTTCATCTCTGTGTCGTCAAATTCTTCTGCATGGTGGTTCTTTAGAGGGTATTTATGAAGTTTGGTTGTCTGTTTTAGTACCCTAACAAGAAATATCCGGCACAGGAGAGGAGAAAAGGTTGTCATCAATGTACCAAGTAAGTTACAAAGGTGAGGGGAGCTTGGGGGGAAAGGCGGGGGGCGGGGGGCTTATTGCATTGTTGAGTCCTGACTCTCAACCACGTCCTTCCCTTTTATGTTCACAACGCAGTATTTAAGGACAAGAACACCCCATCTCCATTTGTGGAGGCGTTTGCTGACGAGGAGGCTGCCCGGGCGGCGCAGCCCGACCACATCTACATGGATGCCATGGGGTTTGGGATGGGCAACTGCTGCCTTCAGGTACGGTGTCCGCCGTGTGGACTCTGACCGGTTCCAACTGCTTTAAAAACTGCATTTGAATTAAGGTGATGGGGTAGATAGGATTCTTTCTGAAAAGAAATTGGGTTTTATTTATTTATTTATTTTGTCAGTTGTGGGGTCTGAACTCTGGCCTGAGCACTGTCCCTCAGCTCTTCGGCTCAAGGCTAGCGCTCTACCACTTGAGCCACAGCACCACTTCCAGCTTTTTTTGCTTATGTGGTGCTGAGGAATTGAACCCAGGGTCTTCTGCATGTAAGGCAAGCACTCTACCACTGAGCCACTTTCCTACCCCCACAAATTAGAGTATTTTTTAAAATACTTTTGTTACTATGAAGGTGTTCAACAGAGGGGCTTGAAACAAGGTTGTTTAGTAAGTTCATCTGAAGCTGTCTTTTGACTTAGAACCCCAGATCACCACAGGTGGGGTCCGTAGTTTCTTCTTAGTGCTCATTAGTGGCAGGCTAGTGAAGCTGTTCGACACGGGCAGATCTTGATTTCTGTGAGCACTTACAATGGCAGCTACTGAGGTTTTTCTTCATGGAAGTACCCCAGGGGTTTTGTGATAGAAGGGACTTCAGACTTGGCTAATCAGGCAAAGCCACCTAGTGATGGAGGAAGGATAAATGCTTCGCAGTGGCCTTGCTGGCAGGCACACACACCACACGGGGGGAGGCCAGAGCCCCGGCCAGCGAGGCCTGCGGTGCGCACCATCTCCCTCTCCCTTCACTGGGGCTCCTTATTCTTCACATGTGGCTAACAGCAGGGCTTACAGTAGGGCCCTTCTAGGCCTGACTCTAAGCTCAGACTTATTTCATTGCCTTTATTAATAGCTGTATCTGTTACGAGCTGTCATTTGATTAAAATCATTGTGTGGAAGCTGTATAATTTGTAAATGTTCAAATTGAGAATTTAAACTCAGAGTCTGTTCTGCCAACTTCAGCTGATTAGAAATGGTCCTTGGGGAACTAGACGCAGCGCTGAAGCCTGTAGTCCTGGCTTCTCAGGAGACAGAATCAAGGGGAATCACGATTCAAGGCCAGCCCAAGCATGAAAGTTCAAGAGCCTCCGTCTCAGCCGACGGCTGGGTGTGGAGCTGCGCACAGCCACGGGCTGGGGACAGTGCCGTGAGCGTGCCCTCCCAGCACTTCAAGAGGACATCAGGGGCATCCTTTCCCGTGCGGGCCTGCAGCCTGTGCGCACGCCTGCTTGCAGAGTCCCTTCAAAACCGAAATCCAAGTGAAGGCCCCGCCACGTATTTCCACACTGACTTGTTTGTATGCAGTATGACAGAGGGTCATTTTTTTCTGTTTTCTTGACGTGTCGGTAGTAAAAGCTGTATTGGCTTCAAAAGAAACTTAGGGCCGTAAGTTTCCTTAGGAAAAGTCGCAATTCAAAACGAGAACTCTTGGTATTAGCTGCATTATTGACTTTGTTTTCATTACAAAGCGGCTAAAGAGAATATGTAAGCTCGTTACAGCATTAGGACTGCAGGTACATGGGGCTCCCGTCGCCCTCTTGACTGAATGCTACACCAGGTGTCGCTCAGACACTCCTCAAGGGCAGGGATATTCTCCCACAGACGCTCTTTGTGCAGCAACACAGCCACTCTCCAGGGGGAGGGCCTCGCTCCCTGGACACTGTGGTGCTGCAAAGAAGTGAGTTCTAGTGGCCCCTGACCCACCATTTTGTGGTGAAGGTACATTCCTCTTAAGCCTTGTAAATTTAGTGCTAATTTTTCCAATAACATGTCATGAACACAGACTTTTCTGTCACAAATATAGGCAATGTAAAATGCAACGAAATCTACAAATAACTACAGAATTCTGTGCTCTGTATCTCGTAGAACAATAGAAACTATAGGGGAAAGAAGTAATTTCAAAGTAATTTTTAAGTTTTACTTTAAAAATATAAAGATTTACTATTCAAAACAAACAGTATCTTTCCACATTCTAATTCTCAACTATTAAGCCAGGTGTGATAGTGCATGCCTGTAATCCCAGAGCCGGGTGTGATAGTACACACCTATAATTCCAGTATTGGGGAGGCTGAGGCAGGAGGATTGGGAGCTCAGGCCATCCTGGGCTGCATAACAAGACCGTCTCAAAAGAGAAAAGTAAAACGTACTGTTGTGGGACTGCCTGGGACTCATCTCGTGAGCAGTCAGCTCATGGCTTGTTTCCCTAAGGGCTTCAGAACGGGCCCAGCCTTTTAACCTGTGCCTCGATGCCGCTTCTCATGCACTGCCCCTTCCGCGGGTGGCGTGTCCACACACGGACACCAGGCCAGCCCACTCGTCACGCATGCCCTTCTTCCAGGGCAAGAACTGGTTTGTTCCTTTTCCTTTAGCCACAGTGATCATCTCTTCTGTCGCCTGTATCAGCTGTAGAATAAGGAAAGTAGTTACTAAATTTATTTAGAATAACAAGTTTCTGTTGCAAACTGAACTATCACATTCCAGTTGCTACTTTTCTTAAGCAGTCATTTCTAGGGTTGACTTTTCCAGGATTTGCTTATAAATCGTGTATCCTACCTAGAACATCCAAGAGCAGCCAATCAAAGCACTGGAAAACAAAATGTTTATCGTGAAAAGCCCCCCCCCCCCCCCCCGCCCAATCCTACAGTATCTAAAGTCACGATAGGGCTGAATGAACAGAGAGGCCCTGGCCTCTCCACTTGGGCTCTGCTGTGCGTGGCTTCTGCCAAACGCACCGCCAGCGCGCCTGGAGGGTAGTCAGGCCTTGCGCGTGCCAGGCCTCACGAGCACTTTGGGTCAGAGTTCGAGTGTCCCCACGCCCTCCCCGGTGTCCTCTGTGCCTCATGAGCTTCAGACATGGCTGGTCGGCAGCAGATGCCAGGCCTCGCCACACAGTCCTGAGGGACCCTCGCCACACCCACGGCGAGGTCCTTCCCTTGGGAACTCGTATTTCTTTTCCTGGGTGGTCACCCCAGACATCTCCGGGCGCTAGCACTGAGCGCAGCCACTCAGAGGTCTTGGTTCACAAGCCTGCGAGTCTGGCTTCTCCTGTCCCGGGTCACCCTCCCCGGCCAGCTGGCCGGCACCCACGGCCTGCTGTTTCTCAGATGGAGGTGCACTGGCCCCCCGACTCCGGGCCATCACCAGACCATCGCCAGGGTTCTTTAAAACTGTCCTCAGTAGCGCCAAATCCCTGTGGTACTGAAGTTTAAATAAGCCTCAGCTAACCCAAAAAGAGGGGCACGGTTAAGTGCAGATTCTAGTTCACCTCACCAAGAACAGCTTTTAAACAAAGCCCATGCATTGAGCATGGCCATCACTGGCCGTTCCCCTCCCCTCCTTTCCTCCAGCCCTCGCCCGCGGCAGACCTGATGGCTTGGGACACATGCTAATGACCTGTCAATCATGTGCATTCTTAAACAGGTGACATTCCAAGCCTGCAGCATATCTGAGGCCAGATACCTTTATGATCAGTTGGCCACTATCTGCCCAATTGTCGTAAGTAGAATTATACCCTATTTTAAATACATGCTAAGAAAAGGGTGCGTAGGCAGGATTTGCCAAGTGTGCTAGTGAGGATCAGCTGAGGCTTCATTCAAAAGTGAACTGATTTAAAAGGGTGCAGAGTTAGAGCTAATGGAGCTCAGGAGCTATGCTGTAGAGTTACCGTGCTGGTAAAATGTTCGCTGTGTGTCTCGTGTGGCCGTTCTCCGGTCATGATGAAGGACGTGGGTGGAGTCCTGGGGTTAGGACCGTCCCAGGAGCCCGCTTTAAGCGTGGAAGTGTGTGGCGGCCTGCAGAGTGGCCTTCCTGTGTCCACAGATGGCCCTGAGTGCTGCTTCTCCGTTTTACCGAGGCTATGTGTCGGATATCGACTGCCGCTGGGGGGTCATCTCTGCTTCTGTGGACGACCGGACCCGGGAGGAGCGAGGACTGGAGGTGGGGAGGACAGCGGGCCGGGGGGGGGTGGAGGAGACAAGTTCCCCATGTCCTCTGCATGCTGCAGGAACACGTCGCTGGCCATCCTGGCAGCTGTGCCCCTGGCTGGGCATATCCTCACAGCTCCCGCTGAGATCTCCAGGCTGGAACACGGCCTTGGGTGTTTTGAAAGTGGCCATGGTGGGCTGGGAAGGTGGCTCAGTGGTAAAGCGCTTGCCTTGCATTCACGAGGCCCTGGGTTCGATTCCTCAGCACCACATAAGCAAAAAAGAAAAAAGCCGGAAGTGGTGCTGTGGCTCAAGTGGTAGAGCGCTAGCCTTGAGC